ATCTTCATCTTCATCTTCATCTTCATCTTCCTCTTCTTCTTCTTCTTCTTCTTCTTCTTTTTCCTCTAAATCTAATTCTAATTCTAATTCTTCTTCTTCTTCTTCTTCTTCTTCTTCTTCTTCTTCTTCTTCTTCTTCTTCTTCTGCTTCTCCTTCTTGTTCCTCTTCTTCTTCTTCATCTTCGTTTTCATCAGAGCTATATAATTTCAAATTAGATTTAAATTGTAATTCTTTCTCCAAATCATTCAATTGTTCTTCATTACTCATCGTTATTTCTTGCGCTTTTGCTTCGCGTTCATTTTCATTCATTGATCTTATATCGGAAGTACTTTCTGTTTCTTCCATTATTTCATTTTCATCTCCAGATTCCTAATAGAATAAACAATAACGTAATATATATTAGATGTAATAGAATAAAATTGAAATATAGCTAATATGTTGTTAGTGTAAAAAAGCGAACACAACCACTTCTAACTAAAAATACGAAAACAAGATAATTTCAAATAATAAGCTGTGTAAAATGTTGATATTATTAGAAATAAATATTAGAGATTGTATGTTTTGTTGATAGAGAATAATTAAATTATAAAAAAGCATCTATTAACAAATTTGTAATTAATAAACAAACGAAGAAGCAAATTCGTATTAAATAATTTGCTACAATAAAGAAAATAAATATCTGCGTTATCCAAGCATGATTATGACCGATAAATAACAAAATAAAATTGATAGGCAAACAATGAAATAAGTAAAAGAATCACCAAATAAAACAAGGCTCCGCGGTTTCATTTGATTCTGCTGAATTCTAATATTTTCTTACAGCTGCAATTTGGTCGAGACTGATGAGAGATAGTGTCATTTTGCCTGAGAGAATTATGGGTGCTTCAGAACTTTCCTCTGTTTTTTGTTCTTGAGTTTCCGAATCCGTAACAAGTAATTCACATTGCGAAGGTAGAGCACCTTCTAAATAAATTGGTACCGGTGGTGTCTTCTCCCTCTCAGTGTGACTAATTTAACAATAAAAAAAATTCATTTTTATTGTGCTAGAATATTTTTCTTATTCAAATAAAATGTCAATACCTATGGGGCGGGGGTATAATGGGGGTGGTAGGTCTACTACATTTTTGTCCACCCTCACAGCTGGCAGTCATTTCCATGCCCATAACTTTAACTGTTGGCGATTGTTCTATGCTTTCTACTTCTTGATCTTCGTTACTATAATTTTCTTGGACAGTAGAGTCTTCCTACAAATGACAATGTTTAATATTAATAAAATAATCATTTAATTAATTATCACATTTGATAAATGAACATTTGTGAATATCCATAAAGAGAAAACTTATAATAATACAGCGTTCTACTGTTATATCTGTAACGTTATTCCCTACTATTATAAAAGCCAAATCATCTATGGGTTTGTCAGCTTTGTTTGCACATAATTTGAATATTATGCTAAAAATCTAATGTAAGATAAAATAAATCATTAAATATATACCATCGGTTTTTAAAAACGCACATAACAGTAACAATTTAATATTTCGTATCACCATGGTAAAAGTATAAGCAATCGATCATGCACCAAACATGTTTTAGTAATAGTTATTTTGTTGATATTAAATTACATACATAATACTGTTCAACTATTATTTTTAATTATATATGTATTATGAAAAATCGATTAAGAACTATGATATTACTAAATTTATTCGAGTGCAATTCAAGAAAAAATGTACGGTGTAGTCTATTTTATATCAAACATTTAAAAAAGGATTAAAAGTATATATATATTGAAGCCTAAATAAGTTTTTAATAAGATCATATTCTTCTTATTACAGATCAAATATGCAAAAGAAGGAACAACAAAGTTTTTCACAAAAAAAAAAAATTTTCGGTTAACTGGTGTTAGGAATCATCATGGCAGTAAGTGATATACCTTAGAACAGTGATTGACCCCTGCCAGACCATTGGACTTTGGAGCCCCATCTACTACTCAAAAGGTAAAAAGATACACTATCAATTGGTTTACCCTAATCATCTTACATAACGATATTTATAATAGAAATGACACTCAGTTCTTTTTTTTTTAATACAAATATATATTGTACTTTGAATAAAAAATAACGTTCAATCGACAATTTAATAATTTTGATAACTGTTATCCACACTCATTTATATTTATCAAAAGCTATAGACCGAATGTATAAAGTTTCTTTGATATTATTATAAATTGACGAAGTTTATAAACGCACATTGGGATAGGTAAAGCTTGAAACGCAATCAGAACACAGCAACGTGCACATTTCTAAGGACTAGGAAACTGAAAATGTAGTAGTTTGCTTCAAAATTAATCTAATAAACCTTGATTTCTGGCTGTGAGCTTGGGCTATGCATTACTGAACGTGATATGTTGCCCATCTGAACAACAATTCTTTCCATGGCTGCTTCCGTCTCGTCCAAACGACGTCTCAGCTGATCTATCTCTATGTCTCCTGCCGCTTCTTGTGTTCCAGCATGTAGAACATTATCAAATCGGTTCAGAGGGTAAATACACGTACTTACAGTAATTTCAATTCTTTCTATATTTAATATTTATCAATAGCAATTATACTCATGGTATAATGAGATAAAAAATACGCGTGTGTTCTAATTGTGCAAACCTTGCATCATACAACATCGTTGAAAAAAAAGGTTCTTTTTAAAATACCCAAGGAAACATATATATATAACTTAATTCTAATTATATCCTTTCCAAAAATATAACAAAAAATATTAGCTTTCGGAGGAAGATGGTACAGTAATAGCAATGCAAAATTGATAAGGACCTTTATCAAAAAAATGATTAACTTACGATTGTTCAACTCCTCTATGGTTGGAGCAGGTTTATAAGGCGATTGTTCTTTTTGGTAATGCATTGTACCTCCTGTCATCGCACTAGCAAGTAAATCCGGATTAAATACCATTTTTCGAAATTCTTTCTCGGCAGCTGCTCCTGGATATTCTGATATAATCTCACTATCAGAGTTCTTCTTTAATACCTACAATATTTATTAAGTCGATTAATAAGAGTACACTACTTTATCATTATGTTTAAGTAAAAAAGAAAATTAAAATATCACCTTAACAATAGTATATAAAAAGAACAACACAATGCCTAGTGTATAGAGAGGCATAATAACTCCCATAGTTCCATTTCCTTTTGGCGCTGGTACTACGTGACCAGCTCCTCCCATAGGAGGTCTCATTTTTGGCATTACATGATCAGGTCTGTCGACTATTTTGGGTACAATGTGCGAAGAAGGTATAGTTCTTCCACGTTCCCTTAATGCTGGATGAAGACCTCCTGCGTGAGGTGGAGTACGCCTTTCTTGCCTTATAGTACCTATATTCAAATCAATCATTATATTATTTTCAGTATCATTAATATATTAAGCATATATTCATTCAAATTCGTACAAAGATAATTAGATGCTTGCACATTCATAAACGCAAACTTAAAGTACTACAGTAATCTAATATCACATGATTACCATTATTAGTAATATAAAAAAAACATAACGTATTACTTTGCAACATATTAGAATCCAGGAAGAGGTCATCATATAAATGTATTTGAAACTATTATAGCAATCCAAGCCTTGTACCTAACAACCATCATGTTTGTATTTCTGGCTAAATGCCAAAGAAGAATAAATGATTTAAGTCTGTCTTCCATATATAACCGATGATCCATATATATAACGTGAGTAACATTATAGACATGCACAAACACATTCTATTTCATTTTTCACTCTTAACAAAATTACAATATTGTTCTTATTTCTTGAAAATTAATTACAAAAAATTGTGTTAATCGTTTAATTTTATCATTCAATACGGTTAGTTATATTTTTCTTTTTTGTAAAAAAAATAATGTTAGTAAAATCATATAAAAATCTTGATAATTACTATGGGGCATCAAGATGTGATATCTTATGAGATGTGGTGTACCCAACTGCGATAATGGAATACCAAAATTCAATTTAAGGCATATAGAACCATTGAACGATCTGATTTCTTCCAAAACTTGTTTATAAGTTTTTCCCAGACGTTCATTATCTGCTAGGTATGTGGATAGATCTATGCCGCATCTTGCCAAAACTTCTTCCCTACATAAGTTAGCTATTTGCGGTGCCATTTTATTAGTTTTAAAGGCATCCTTCAATCGTGGATCAACTTGATGATGTCTCAAAATATTTTGACACATTTCTTGCATAATGTCCAAAGTAGTAACATCACTTTCGAATAATACGTCGCAGCATGCTAATAAATATTCATTCGATGTACAACATTGGGAAGAATTTTGTTACTAATTATTTAAAATTTTATAAAAATTTAAAAGTACCTAATATGATATTTGATCATTTAAAAAAAATTGTACACATGCAACAACAACGATATTAAAATATTTAGCAATTATTGGTTGCTCTTATTTGATAAATCATTAAAATAATAATTAGGATAAACTTACTTTCAGAATTTGAATGGTGTGAGTTGACAGACGCCGTAAGCATGGGGTAAAAAATTTTTGGCCACAGCACCGCGAAACATCCAGCCACAATAGCCAATATAAAAATTGTCTTTCTCGGACCAAAATCTGTTATCTCAGACATTGTTCGTATCGATTTTTCGTTCGTTTTTATAGAAATATCGCGATTTTGTTACACTATAAGCTCGATTATTAAACTCTTTTAATCACATCCAAAACTTTCTTGCGGATGAACGACGTCGTCGTCGTCAGTCTTGCTGCGCATCCAAGCGCACTGTCGTCTGCTATTTCTGTCATGGTACAGGGAAGCATCGATAAACTTAGGCACCTGCCTCAAAACTTATGTTATGACGTAATTCTACTTTTTATTTTTCTTCTTTTCAACAACAAAAATTCTCTTTTATTTTAGAATATTTCTAACATCAAAATTTACTATTCGCATATACAAAATTTATATGTGAAATTAAAAAATTAATTTAATTTATGGTAAATTTAACCCTTTCGTTACTAACGACCCATATACGGGTCGTTCCGTGTAAGGCCCCATAGGAAAACGACCGACCCATATAAGGGTCGTATCATGAGAGAATATTTTTGGTCATCTGATAAAACGTAAAATTATTTTAATTGATAACTTTTATTGATTATTACGATTATATCGAAAAAAATGAGAAATATTTAGTAACACTTTCGCTTCGGGTAAATAACAAGCATTAGTCGATAAAGCAATGAAGCGAAAGATATTCTAGAAATAGCAAGTCCTGGCAATGTCACTTAAATATATGTAGATGTTGTTAGGAGAGAAATAGAAAGAAAGAAAGAAAGAGACCTTGTCCGATAAATGGCTTAGAGAAATTCTACATCCTTTTTTTATGACTCATAAACTTTCTATTACGTTCATTTATTATTTACACAGTATTTTATACGTAAATCTAAAGAAAGCCTAAAATCAATTTGAAATAATACTTTATTTCGAATGATAATCTAAAATTTAAACGCCTTTCCTAATAAAGTTCACGAACGCGATTATTCCGGCCCACCGCGCTGAAAAATAATAATTTTATTATTATTATTATTTTTATTAATAGAAAATTACGGAAATAGTTTCTACGTTTCTCGTTTCACGTTATAAAGTATTTATAGTTTTCATTTTAGAGTTTGTTTTGGTTAATGAAAAAAAAAAAAAAAATAGACATTTTCTTACGTAAGTTAAATCGTGTATACGTAACTTTTCTATAACGTGATTTTTTTGTTAGTTATTTAATTAAAGATTAATTAAAAGACTTACATTGATATATTCAATTTCTTTTTCGGTAATAGGTCGTCGATGAAATCTTGCAGGTAGGTGAATATCATCGATCGTTGGCAAACTGATAACCTGAGGTCCGGTTGCACCTCGCGATGACGCCGTCCCTGAAGTCGCAGATGGAGCCGCGCTCGCACCTACGTTTACTAACCAATAACGACAATTTCACATTGTCTTTTAATAGTATACATAACAAATCTCTTCGAGTTACCTCTATTAAAACCTCCCTTACGAAACTTTATCAGCGGCACATGCGGTTGTACAACCTAATCGGGGAAGAAAATAATTTCGATCAAAATTGGATCAGAATTTTCCACTCGTTTGATCGTCCTACTTATTTTTTATCTTCTGCCGTCCGTTATTTCAGTTAAAAAAAAATATTTCTCGACACTAACCTTCCATCCCTTGCTTGCCATCATAATTTTTATATAAAACGTTTACGAACAACAGAAGAACTAAATTTATCTGCACAGAGTGTCGAACATTTTTTTAGGACAACAAGTAGATGGCGCTTGTGTTAACGCCAACCTGGCGCCCTATAACTTTGTATAAAGGTGTATCAAAATATGTGAACATGACTTCAAGGGTGGTTTTCAAAATAAGAAAAAACTTAATTTAATTATATGCCCGCGCAATATAATGAATAAGTATCTACTGTATTATCTCACAAAATTCGAACAATTGTTTTGTTCTTATTCAAGTCATGGTTAGTGTAGCGATTTTCGAGTTTAATTTAATTTTATATATTTAATCTTTAATTTTCAATTATTGTTATATACTTTTCAATTTGACTATAAATTCAATATACAATACAATAAGGAAATTGAAGAATTCAAATTTTAAGTTTTCTTTTATTTATTTATTTAATTGTAAGACAAACTAGATCAATATTATTAGAAACTATATATTTTAGTAACTAATAATTAAAAATTAATGGTGAAATCATTTTTAACTAGGATTGTTTATTTTAATAAAAATTGTTAGGATACATAAAGGAGAGAAACATTATAACTTTATTTCATTGGTAAATTTTATTACTTTTAACTTCAATATACACATTTACGTATTTTTGATCGAGTACATACATACAGCGTTATGTATATTGGAGAGAGGAATGATAAATTAAATGACAAAGTATGTTACAAAAAAGAATGATATCTGGTGTGTAAGTGACCACATAAAACGTGGTATTGAAATTAAAGAGGGTTAGTAAGAAGATTTCTCTTTGATCTGAACAGTCTTTGTCTATACTATGACATAATGCCATAACCTTTAAAATTTGTTAAGAATATTTAATCTACTTCTTCCATTCGAGATGCATCTTCCGTTTCATTACTTTCTACTTGAGGGACTACTTCATCTATTTTTAATTCTTCTTGCATAGAGTCATCCTCGTCGATGCCAAGACCTAACTTAATCATTCTATAAATTCTGGATGCATGGATCTGTGGTTCATCCAAAGTAAAACCAGATGAAAGTAACGCAGTTTCGAATAAAAGAATGACTAGATCTTTAACAGCCTTGTCATTTTTGTCAGCTTCAGCTTTTTGGCGTAGAGTTTCGATGATCGAATGATCTGGATTAATTTCAAGATGTTTTTTAGCAGCCATGTATCCCATGGTTGATGTATCGCGAAGTGCCTGTGCCTTCATTATTCTTTCCATATTTGCAGTCCAACCATATTGGGATGTAACGATACAACATGGTGAATCAACCAATCTGTTTGATACGACAACTTTTTCTACTTTGTTATCAAGGACAGTCTTCATAACCTTACACAAGTTTTCGAATTTAGCCTTATCTTCCTCTCTCTTTTTCTTCTCTTCCTCGTCCTCTGGAAGTTCTAAACCTTCCTTGGTTACAGAAACCAATTGTTTGCCATCAAATTCCTTCAATTGTTGAACAACGTATTCATCAATAGGTTCGGTCATATAAACTACTTCAAAACCACGCTTCTTGACACGTTCTACGAACGAACTGTTTGCAACTTGCTCTTTGCTTTCTCCAGTAATGAAGTAAATATGTTTTTGATTTTCTTTCATTCTACCAACATAGTCCTTTAGAGAGCAAGCTTCGTCTCCAGATGCAGATGTATGGTACCTCAATAAATCTGCCAACTTGCTGCGATTAGTACTATCTTCATGAATACCTAACTTAATGTTTTTGCTAAATTGTTCATAGAACTTCTTATAAGAATCCTTGTCTTCCGTTAATTCCTCAAAGAGTTCTAAACATTTCTTGACAAGATTCTTTCTGATGACCTTAAGAATTTTATTTTGCTGCAACATCTCACGAGAAATATTCAATGGCAAATCTTCGCTGTCAACTACTCCCTTTATGAAATTCAGGTATTCAGGGATCAATTCTTCACAATTGTCCATGATAAATACTCTTCGTACATACAATTTGATGTTATTTTTCCTTTTCTTATTTTCAAATAAGTCGAATGGCATACGACGAGGAACAAAGAGCAACGCTCTGAATTCCAATTGTCCTTCTACAGAGAAATGCTTAACCGCAAGATGGTCTTCCCAATCGTTAGTCAATGACTTGTAGAATTCACCATATTCTTCCTGGGTAATATCATCTGCATTTCGAGTCCAAATTGGCTTAGTTTTGTTTAATTCTTCATCTTCAGAATATTTTTCTTTGATGGTTTTTTTCTTCTTTTTCTTTTCTTTATCTTCCTCCTCCTTATCTTCGCCAACATCCTCAACCTTTGGTTTTCCCTCCTCATCTTCTTTCTTTTCTTCCTCTACTTCATCTTCATCTTCGCTCAATTCCTTTTCACGTTCCTTTTGTACAACTAATTTGATTGGATAGCCAATGAATTGAGAGTGCTTCTTTACAATTTCTTTAATCTTAGCTTCTTTGAGATATTCAGATTGATCTTCTTTGATGTGAAGAATAATTTTTGTACCACGTCCTAAAGGTTCACCAGTGTCTCGTTTAACAGTGAATGAGCCTCCCGCACTGGATTCCCATAAATATTGTTCGTCGTCATTGCTTTTAGATACAACAGTTACTTTATCAGCTACTAAATAAGCAGAGTAAAATCCTACACCAAATTGACCAATCATGGAAATATCAGCACCAGCTTGAAGAGCTTCCATGAAAGCTTTTGTACCAGATTTGGCAATGGTACCAAGGTTGTTGACTAAATCAGCCTTTGTCATACCAATTCCAGTATCAATAATAGTAAGAGATCCATCATTTTCATTAGGAATAATTTTTATAAATAATTCTTTGCCGCTATCAAGTTTGGTTGGATCTGTTAATGATTCGTAACGGATTTTGTCAAGGGCGTCACTGGAATTTGATATGAGTTCTCTTAAGAATATTTCCTTGTTAGAATAAAAGGTGTTGATAATTAAAGACATAAGCTGAGCAATTTCAGCTTGGAAAGCGAAAGTTTCCATCTCTCCTCCATTAGTTTCCATTTTTTCAGCCATCTAAAATTAATAAAATGATTTTAATACAAATCCTAAAGAACAAAGAAATAATAATAACTGCATATTCTTACAGTAAAATATTTGATTAGATATGAAAAGATAGTTAATATATTTATAATTAACAAAATAATTAAAAGATTTATAATTCCGAGAAAGAAAGAAATAGATTCGTCATTTATTATAAATGAAATAAAAAGAAAAGGCCAATTATTAAAATCCTAAAAAATCAATAGCATTGGCGTGAAAAATAATTCATCCGCACATGGACGCGTTCGGCAAGCGGTAATTTTTGAAATTATTAATAAAAATAAAAAATATATTGGTTGTAAAGTAAAATGAGCTGAATCATGATCACAAATATTCACTGATAATATTAAATTAACGAATAAATGCAGTACCTTGTCGTAATTAGCTGGTCACAATTAATAAAACACTCTTCAAGTCTCACGTTGTATATCGGCTCAATCGAGCAAATCGTATGAAGACCCGCGTGAGCTGTACCGCCTTATATACCCTCCAATAATTCTAGAATATTCTAGAACATTCTAGAAGATTCCCGAGTTCTCGATATACCTAACTTCCGGTGAAACATCTATTTTAACGACACGTATTTCCGATTAATTTCTTATGCAAGTTCCAATCGAACGTTATTTTTTATCACGCGAATAGTCATTTCAATTGCTAATGATACCCCCATCATTAATTATATTTATAAAGAATAAAAAATGTATTTAGTTTATATTCGGTTCGAGTAGTACTTCCGGTATTTGGGAGCAGAAAACGATTTTGCTTTGAGAGGACATTGTTCGACCATCATTATATCTATAGCACGCTAATTTCATATTTTTCATTGTTATATATTACAATATCATTTATTCTATTCGTAGATTATTTAATGTTTTTATCATATTTTTACATTTCTAATTCATTGACTTGTGTTTCATTTTTTAATAAGAAAAGAATATAAAATATAGACGAGCAGATGGCGCGCTTGCGTTCGATACAGAACATACTAGAATTTACTTGATTCGTCTATCAGAATTAATTCATAAAATAATTAGTTACCAAATTTAAATATTAAAAAAAGTAGACATTTTTTACAATAATTAACGCATGTCATTGTCGATGAATAAATGAAATGAATCATAAAATGAATCATAAGTTAAGTCAAGTCGATAGATATTATAAATTATTATTAAATCAGAATGATATTTTTGTTCAAGATTATCGATGCTTTTTAAAGTTGCTAACGCATCAATGATTATGAAATTTTCTATTGTACTGACATTAGGTCATAAACTCATAAAAAAGCGTCCGTTCTCGGTCGATACAAAATTTCAGTTGACGTTGGAATGTGGCGTCCCCTATAGAAGTTTCGCGGCTTGCTATTAAACTAAATTTTCATGTAGCTTACGATACGTGGATTTTTCCGGAAGATTCTTTTACATAATTCGTTATTAGAAGATAGGTATAATTTGTACAACACGTTTTCTTACAATATCTCATATTATTTTTATCCTTTTTATTTATAATGATTTCACATTATTATATATAGATGCAAATTATTTAAAAAAACTTATAAAAAATCGTGGTCTCGTAATATTACGAAGTGATTAAAAATAGGGTTATGTCCAAAAGAGTTCAATTTAAATGGAATCGAATAATCTGGCTATATTAGAATTATTATAGTTTAAAATGAACCTACGTCGATGTTTTCTATATCATCCTGAAAAATATTCCATTCCTGCGGATGTTCATACATTATAAGAATGTGTGTAGAGGAGGATAATCAGTGAACACACATTCCAGACACCTTTATTGTGGGAAACTATCGTCGTCACGTACCGTGTCGGTCTATGTTCCGAAACCTTAAAGACGTTCTTCATAAGCGAAACAAGCCTTTGTCGAAATATCCTGTTTCTTGGTAAACGCGTTGCACGTTTTCGTGACTACATTCTAAAATGGCGGGAAAAATCAAAAGATCAATATCGTTTCAAATTGAATACCGTTATTAAAATAATATAATTATTATATTTGTGTTGTATGTGCAATATGAATGATTTTGAAAAATAGAATTCTTTAATCTTTTTATGT